CATGGAGGAACCTTTTAAAACGCTTTCTGGTCTCAGGGAACCCCTGCTAATAACTGCTATATGTACAGCTCATGGTACATTAGTGTGACAGTCAGCAGGAATATGGCTCTTTTCACTTGTCACTGGGAAGAATCCCTCCACTACAGATAGCTAAAAAGATTTTTGTTGTCATTGGTTCCCTATCTAAGAGGCAGAAATTGCTCAAGGAAACCCCTGGCAACTTCTGAAGAAACCCTAGGGTTCAATGGAACCCTGGTTAAGAAAGACTGCTCTAATGCATTTGTGAGGGGTCTTCAAAAAGTTTCCACAATTTTATATATTTGATAGAGTTTCAGAAAGTGTGGAAACTTTTTGAAGAACCCTCATATTATATGGTACATAGGAAGTTAGTAATTGAGAACTACTAAACCCCTTCAGCTTCCCTTTATGATAGACTACATGAATCTTAGTATACATACCTTTTTGTGTCCCAGTGACTATTTCCATTCATGCAATGACTTATTGGTCATATCAGAGTGCTGGGCAGGTTATTATGATCAATGCTCAAATGAACATGGGAATGGGTGACATCACTTTCCCAGAATAAGAAGACACAAGGTCACCTTGTATGAGGAGCATTGTGTGACATGTAAAGGTCATATTACATACTGCTTAGAAAAAAAAAATCCCAATGTTGCTAGTAGCTGAGCTTTGCTCAACCTGCAAAAACAGAACTTGAAAGATAGATGCAAAGATAATTGTGTGTGGACAGACCCTATTATTCGTGCATGCAATAGATCATTATAATTCTGTGCAACCTTAATCTATGTGAGTGGGTGGGAAACTCAAGTAGTAGAAGACTTGAATGGCAGTAACAAATTGGGCCCCGGTTTGTAAGGCATTGTACACAGGTCTTTTTTTTCTCTCAAAGAATAGGTGCAGCAACTCTCTCTTTCCGAGTCACCCTGCGAAACACTTTGGCTACACTTTTGACTGTCCATCTGACCTTTATTGGAAAAAAGTAGCATGTGGACCTTTTGTAGCAGTAATGTGGTGCTTCAGTTTACATTTTTGTTTCTTTAAACAATATGTCCTTTTAAAACCGATCCAAATACAGTATTTGCTTCATTGCTATGTAACATTATTGTTCACTGTATTGCCATATGTTCATAGAGAAGGCAAATGACACGTTTTCTCATGATAACCTTGGTGTATAAATGTTTGGAGAAAAAAAATGCTTCTTCAGGATAAACAGTCACACTGTAATTGTAAGGGTAAAGGATAATGGATTCCAAATGTCTCATCCTCTTGTTCCCCATCCCCTTTCAAGCCTCCGGTAATCTCAGCAGACCTAATGATAGAGTGGTGTTGGTGGATTTGGTAGTGTCCAACTCTTGGTGGGATAATAGTCCTGTGGGAGGCTAAGGTCAACCTGTCAAAAAAATAATTATCTATCTTGTTGCCCATGCAACCAATCTTTGCCCCCGTTGCAAAGATAAGTCAAAAAAATATTCATCCAGTACACTTATGGGAGTCTCATATGTCTGATGAGAGAAAGGGAAGATAGTGTGTTGCCGGACCTCCAGATTCCCTTCTCTACCCCTTATGACCGTTATGCAAAATTTAACCTAAAAAATTCTAGATAAGCCAGGAAAATGAAAGACCACCAAAATTTGCACTTTTTGTAGTTTTGTACAACCTGCTAAGCATAAACAAAATTAAGGATTTTCTTTTCCTTTAAATTTTAGTGAAAGTTGGGAGACTTTGGAGAAATTTCACTATTTTGGCAAAATGCTTTGGAATTGAAATTAGGATACAATATTTTTGGTGGTTTTTAAAGGTACAATGGGTTTAAGTTGCCCTTGAGGTTTATGGAAGCTTATTTTACCCATTATGGACCTGTTCATGATTGTTTTATCTTTTCATCACAGAAAGGAAAAAAAATAGCAAAAAATGCTAATTTTTACACAAATTATGATGAAGTACACATATAAAAAAGGACAAATACAAAAACACATTTTCCAAACTGAATCCAATTATAAAAATGTGTTAATCCTGGATGAAAATTGTGTGATTCTTGTGTGAAATCGTTTATAGACTATTAAATGAAATAAACTAAACTATCCCAAATAAAACCCCAAAATACACATACTCCAAAAAAGAAAAAAAACATTTTTTGGTGTAGGTAAAAATAGTTTTTTTTCTCTGTGAAAACAATTTTGTCAAAATTATTTGTTTCATGCCTAATGCTCGCTCTTACTCTGCCCTAAGTGTCAATCCACAGTGGGTGGTGTACAAGATTATACCCATAATGTTCTTGCTATGTGTGAAATGTCAGTTTCTATTTGTTGCCCTTCATATGGTAAATGTGAACATTTGGCAAACATTAGAGAAAATAGTCTAAAAAACATTCAACTAGAAGATCAATCAACTATTAACATTGTTGACTAAGAACATTCCTCCATGGTAGATGTAATATTTGGGGGTCTGGATCTCTAGCCAGCTGTGTCTTTGTAAAACCAACCATTTTTATTTATCCAAAATGCAAAAAGAGCAGCATCAAAGCAGCAAAACAGTCCATAACCTCTGGTATAAAACAAAGCTTTAGCTCACTGCCAGTGTTAACTTGTCCCACCACAGGGTTTTAAAGTTCCCACCTGCTTCAGGGGTCCTGAAAAGGGTACAATAGCTCAGCAGTGCCTCGGCAGATCGAACAGCCACAGCTCTTTCTTACAAATGTGTCCTGTTCCACACATCACCTCATCAACCTATCCTTTATCATCCCCCTTAAAGGGACCATAACCCAAAACAATGATAATACATATTTACCATCAAGGACCCATCCCTGGATCCTGTATAGATTAAATAATATTGATATATGATGGCCATCTTGGGTCAGCAGAGTCTTTTTAGGTCCCTACTCCTAGGTTTTGGCACACATTTTGCAAAGTGGATAGGAAAGGGAAAGAGCACTCCTCTGTCAAGGAAAGTGAGAGCAGCAGGGAGAGGTTCCTGATGAGGAGGGAAAGGCTAGGGACATGCTATCCAAATTGGGCCCACTGTGCTGTCTGTTGAGTTGAGCCTTTCTTTAATACAAGCTCTTGCTCCTGCACCAAGACTCTGTGTGATTACTCTTCCACACCAAGCTGCCCCTACTCACACACCCATTAGTGCATGGGTGAACCTTCAGCTTATTCCCAAAGAGCACTTTGTACACAGTGCAGCAGTCTTTCATATTATTTCCTCTTCTGGTTGAATGTTCTTAGCCAATAGTGTTAAACATTCAACCCAGAGAGAAAATAACCTATTTAAAGTGCAAGGAAACTCCTAACTAGTCATAAAAATGATCTTTCCCCCTCCTAACACTTATACTGACTGACTAAAAAGCTGTATATATTTACCTGTAACACCCTCCAGGTTAGCTAGATAGGCTGTTTGTTTTTTTAATTTTTTAGATAGAGGCGGAGTAACAGCCTGTTAGTGAGGCAGGAGTTCGCCTCAGGACAGGCTGGGAGGTTCTACAGGTCAGGGCTTCTGGAGCCCACTCACCTTTCAAGAAACCAGAGGAGGAGGCCCAGATCTGCATGTTTGAGGGACTTTGGCCAATCCCCTGGCAGGAGGATGAGCATGGTAACCAGGGCAACCCTCAAATATGACAGAGCCCAGGGAGACAAGGGAGTTGGGTGGAAGATGGATTGAGAGAAGGCTGGAGTAAGGAGCCTGGGAGGGGGCCTCGGGGAGAGGAGCCTACCTACAGGCTCTGTGCTGAACAGGAGGATCTCCACTGCCTATAGTCTCCTAGGGAGGACATCCTGAGCAGCAGGGAAGGAGCCAGCCCAGAGAATGGCCTGAAAGCAGCTGCCAACCCACCACGCTGACAGAACAGGGCAATGTGAGTACTCTTACACCCTTTGGGCCAGATAATGAGAGAGGGCAGTCAGGCGCAAGACACAACTAGTTCTCATCCGGGACTACTAAATTGTAAGGTGAAGAGGAGGAATCATCCAGGGTCTGAGGAGATACACCGAAGGGGTGTTAGTGCTCCTTAATAGAGACTGTTGCTAATCCAGAGTTCTGCGATTCCTTAGGCATCACATATACCCCTAGACCCCATACAAGTTGTAAACCCCTTAATAAAAACCAGCTCAAGAACTGCTTACGGCCTCTGAAGGTACAATTATGGAAAATGCATGTTGCCTGACTGTGCAGAGCGTAGGGGACCCAAACCAAATCCAGTGGCCCCTAAGGGGGTAGTGCTACATACCTATTTTCAGTCCAGTTCAGTCTTCTGATCCAGCTCCCCTGTTCCAGACAGTGGCTGTTGAAGGGGAGAGGAGCAAGCTCCAGCAATGGATGGGCTATAGGAACCTATGGGTGATGTCACCACTCCCAGGCATTCCAATCGATGTTGAGTGTTCTCTCAGTCTGATCACATAACCAAGTCGAAGCAAGCTGAAAACAGGTATGTATCCACATCTTTCTTACAAAGATTAGTCAGTATAGTTGTTAGGAGGGGATGGGACCATTTTTAAGACTAGTTAGTGTTTGCCTAGAATTCTATTTGAACACTTCTGGCCAAATGTTTTTAAGGTGTTACTGAACCCACAAAAGTAAAATCAGTCTGTATATGCAGTAAAGCTTGCTTGTTATACTCACTGTGGAACCTAAGGGGTTAATCCTCTGCATTGTGTAAAAAGGCAGTTTGATCCTGTTTTCTCTCCACTTGTTCAAATGTCCACCTGATAAGACAGAATGAACCCGTAGCCACATGCACATGCTCAGTTTAGTGTGTTTTGCTAGAGAGGTTTTTTTTTTTTTTTTCTTGGAAGAGTGCATGTGATGAGCACAGGGCCAATCAGCACTGTCCAGACAGAGATCAAGGGTTTCACATCCTCCTAGAGCAAAATAAAAACTCCTCCTACAAGCTTTAACCAGTGCTCTGCTGCAGTCACAAGACTGCTTCTAACCGCTAATGAGAAAAGGTATTTAGCAGCTGTATATTTTTTCTAAAACAATTGCATTTCCATGTTGTGTGTACTGTGGGAGATCAGATATAGTGAATGCAGGGTCTGCGGAGACCAGATATAGTGATTGCAGGGCCCAAGGAGACCAGATATAGTGAATGCAGGGTCCTGGGAGACCAGATATAGTGAATGCAGGGTCCGGGGAGACCAGATATAGTGAATGCAGGGTCCGGGGAGACCAGATATAGTGAATGCAGGGTCCGGGGAGACCAGATATAGTGAATGCAGGGTCCGGGGAGACCAGACATAGCGTGAATGCAGGGTCCAGGGAGACCAGATATAGTGAATGCAGGGTCCAGGGAGACCAGATATAGTGAATGCAGGGTCCGAAGGGAGACCAGATGTAGTGAATGCAGGGTCCTGGGAGACCAGATGTAGTGAATGCAGGGTCCGGGGAGACCGGATATAGTGAATGCAGGGTCCGGGGAGATCGGATATAGTGAATGCAGGGTCCGGGGAGATCGGATATAGTGAATGCAGGGTCCGGGGAGACTGGATATAGTAATGCAGGGTCCGAGGAGACCAGATATAGTGAATGCAGGGTCCGGGTGAGACCAGATATAGTGAATGCAGGGTCCTGGGAGACCAGATATAGTGAATGCAGGGTCCGGGGAGACCGGATATAGTGAATGCAGGGTCCGGGGAGACCGGATATAGTGAATGCAGGGTCCGGGGAGACCGGATATAGTGAATGCAGGGTCCTGGGAGACCAGATATAGTGAATGCAGGGTCCGGGGAGACCATATATAGTGAATGCGGGGTCCGGGGAGACCGGATATAGTGAATGCAGGGTCCTGGGTTTGGTAACACTTTTAGGCTATTTTCTTTTATATCAGGGATTGCTACAGGACAACAAACAGGAACTGACATTTCACACATATTACAATTAGGGTAATATTTACGACTTTTGCTTGAAAATTCACAAAGCAAACATAGATCCCAAACAGTCGCTTAATTGAGCATTTACATTTTTGCTGCATTGTTACTAATTTGTTGGTCCACAATGGTGCTACGTCTTGTGAATAGCTCCCTGGCATAGTTTGTTCCTTTTTAGAGTGGGTTGTCCGGTACCAGAGGCAAATGCAGTCTGACATCAAGTCTTCTTTTTTTTTTCACCATTTCTCTCTGTGTATACAAGCCCCCACACTTCCTCTGAGCAGTAATTTTGCACTGCCTCATTAAAATTTTCATCAATATTATCAATGTCAATTGTTTGACAGCTGTCAAAGCCTCAAAGATGATGTGGCTCAGAGCTGCTTCTTATATAGAAATATGGCTGACAATCAGGCAAAGGTTAGAGCCCTCTGTACTTGATTTTTGCGCTTATTTTCTTCCTAATTACCTATCTGAATCCCCATGCATTACTGATGAGGTTGGATAGTTCCTGGTTATCCCTACCGTGACATTCTAATTTTAATCTAGGCTATATCATTTGCTCTCCTTCTTGGTCTTCAAACAATCTCTACAGGAGACAAAGTTAAATGAGAATAGTGGGTGAAAATGAATGATTTATTCTGTTCTCAGATGTAATGTAAAGAAATGGTGTGGAGGCTTCTCGAGGGAAGTCTTGCATGGTGACACGCAGGTAGTTGCAGAATATCTGAAATGGTATATATATACAGTTGTGTTCAAAATAATAGCAGTCAGACATCACTAACCTGATCAATCACTGTTTTTGGTAGAAATGATATTTCTACATGGCAAATAATTTACTAGCAGGTGTAGCAGAGTAATAGAAATCCAACAGACCCAACAGTCATGACATGCATGCTGCTGATTCTGTGTAATTGAATCACTCATTGAAAGGGGCATGTTCAAAATAATAGCAGTGTGGAGTTCTATTAGTGAGGTCATTCATTCTTTAAAAAACAGGTGGCAATTCTTGCCCTTATTTAAGGAAGGAAGGCAGCAAATGTTGTACATGCTGGTTACAGTGCATTCCTCTCTTAAATTCTGAGGAAAATGGGTCGTTCCAGACATTGTTCAGAAGAACAGCGCACCTTGATTAAAAAGTTGATTGGAGAGGGGAAAACATATAAAGAAGTGCAGAAAATGATAGGCTGCTCAGCTAAAATGATTGCAAATGCTTTAAAATGGCAATCAAAACCTGAAAGACGTGGAAGAAAGTGAAAAAATACCATTCGAATGGATAGAAAATAGCCAAAATGGCGCAAGGACTCAGCCAACAATCAGCTCCAGGAAGATCAAAGAAGGTCTAAAGTTCCCTGTGAGTACTGTTACAATTAGAAGACGCCTATGTGAAGCCAAGCTATCTGCAAGAAGCCCCCGCAAAGTCCCACTGTTGAAAAAAAGACATGTGCTGAAGAGGTTACAATTTGCCAAAGAGCACATTGACTGGCCTAAAGAGAAATGGTGCAACATTTTGTGGACTGATGAAAGTAAGATTGTTCTTTTTGGGTCTAGTGGCCGGAGACAGTTTGTCAGATGACCCCCAAACACTGAATTCAAGCCACAGTACACTGTGAAGACAGTGAAGCATGGTGGTGCAAGCATCATGATATGGGGATTTTCTCATACTACGGTGTTGGGCCTATTTATCGCATACCAGGGATCATGGATCAGTCTGAATACATCAGAATACTTGAAGAGGTCATGCTGCCTAATGCTGAAGAGGAAATGCCCTTGAAATGGGTGTTCCAACAAGACAACGACCCCAAACACACCAGTAAAGGTGCAACATCTTGGTTCCAGACCAACAAGATTGACGTTATGGAGTGGCCAGCCCAATCCCCGGATCTTAATCCAATAGAAAACTTGTGGGGTGACATCAAAAATGCCGTTTCTGAGTCAAAACCAAGAAATAGAGAAGAACTGTGGAATGTAGTCCAATCATCCTGGGCTGGAATACCTGTTCACAGGGGCCAGAAGTTGGGTGACTCCATGCAACACAGATGTACAGCAGTTCTCAGAAACAGTGCGACTACAACCAAATATTCATTAAGTGATTCAAAGGAAAGCAAAATCTTCAAACATTTTTCAGTTTATATAGTGAATGTTTGAGTTTGTAAAGAAGAATAAACAAACACTGCGATTTTTTTGAACAGTCTAATATTCACTTTTCTTAAATTTTTTTAGAGGAACAACACAAATTTGATCTATTTTTCTTCATGTTTTGATTTGGAATAGAATGTGTCGTGTTCCCAATGCATTTGTGTGTATGGAAATAAAAGCTATTAGAAGGATTTTGAGTTTTATTCACTTTTTTCAACACACTATTATTTTGAACACAACTGTATATACTATATTGTCAAAAGTATTGGGTCGGCCTGCCTTTACACGCACGTGATCTTTGATGGCATCCCTGTCTTAGTCCGTAGGGTTCAATACTGAGTTGGCCCCGCCCTTTGCAGCTATAACAGCTTCAACTCTTCTGGAAAAGCCGTCCACAAGGTTTAGGAGGGTGTCTATGGGAATGTTTCTTCCAGAGGCGTATATGTGAGGTCAGGCACTGATGTCGGACGAGAAGGCCTGGCTCGTGGTCTCCGCTTTAATTCATCCCAAAGGTGTTCTTTGGGGTTGAGGTCAGGACTCTCTACTGGCCAGTCAAGTTCTTCCACCCCAAACTCGCTCCCCCCATGTCTTTATGGACCTTGCTTTGTGCACTGGTGCGCAGTCATGTTGGAACATGAAGGGGCCATCCCCAAACTGTTCCCACAAAGTTTTGGGAGCATGAAATTGTCCAAAATGTCTTGGTATGCTGACGCCTTAAGAGTTCCCTTCACTGGAACTAGGGGGCCAAGCCCAACCCCTGAAAAACAACCCCATACCATAATCCCCCCTCCACCAAACTTTACACTTGGCACAATGCAGTTAGGCAAGTACCGTTCCCCTGCCAACCACCAAACCCAGACACGTCCATGAGTTGGCCAGACAGAGAAGCGCGATTTGTCACTCCAGAGAACACATCTACACTGCTCTCGAGTTCAGTGTCGACGTGCTTTACACCACAGCATCCAATGTTTTGCTTTGCACTTGGTGAAGTAAGGCTTTAACGCAGCAGCCCAACCATGGAAACCCATTCCATGAAGCTCTCTACGCACTGTTGTGCGAATTTGAAGGTCACACAAAGTTTGGAGGTCTTTAGCTATTGACTCTGTAGATAGTTGGCGACTTCTGTGCACTGTATGCTTCAGCATGTGCTGACTCGGCTCTGTCATGTTACATGGCTTACCACTTCATGGCTGAGTTGCTGTTGTTCCCAGTTGCTTCCACTTTGTTATAATACCACTAACAAATATTTAGTAGCAAGGAAATTTCACAGATGAACTTATTGCATAGGTGGCAACCTATCATCGTACCAGTCTCTAATTTACTGAGCTCATAAGAGCGACCCATTCTTTCACAAACTTCCTCTGAGGAAGTCGGAATGATGAAACGAGTCAGAGCGTGACCATCTGTGACGTCAGCACGCATGCTGGGATCACGTGGTGGCATGACATGACCGCTGCTGCGGGATTCCATTGTCATGAGCGTGTGGTGAGACTGTCACCTGTTTTGAGCGGCTATTTTGAACATTTTGAAGCTTGTACCTATACAATGTGCATTTTATCTGACTCAATGTGAGTTTATTTTAAAGGGGGTTTGGGTTAATAAACGTATCAAACGGTATTACACTATGTGGTTGTCTTTCACTTTGCCCACATATGGAGTTGGAGTATTATTGATCTAGTTTGATGATGAGGAAGCCGGAGATAGATTGAGTATTATCTATTGGATGAAAAGGGCTGCTTGGTCTTTGTCACTTTCGGTTTGATTTACAATCATTGATCATCAAGGAGGCTATTTTCCACTGCTGGTTAATCACCAGCATCTGGTGAGTGCTCATTTTGATGGGGTGTTAATCATGGCAAGATCACTATGATGATGGATGAAGGTTTCGGAAATATCTTAATATTTGAAATGAATGAACTTTTTTCACACCTGTGCACTTTGGTGGAACTTTCACTATTTTTTACTTATAATATTGTGGCGATCCTTGTTTATCCAGTTTTCCTATTATTACTGAGCGCTGTTTATGAGGACAGATTTAATACTCATACATTTGTTTCATATGGGGGCAGCACAGTGGCTAAATGGTTAGCACTTCCGCCTGGCAGTACTAGGGTCGTTGGCTTGAATCCCAGCCACGGCGCCACCTGCCTGGAGTTTTCATTTTCTCCCTGTCCCTGCGTGAGTTTCCTCCGTGTACTCCGGTTTCCTCCGGGTACTCCGGTTTCCTCCCACACTCCAAAGACATGCTGGTAGGTTAATTGAATCCTGTCTAAATTGGCCCTAGTATGTGTATGTATGAATGTGAGTTAGGAACCTTAGATTGTACACCCCTTGAGGATTAGGGACTGATGTGAATGTACAATATATGTGTAAAGCGCTGCATACATTGACAACGCTATATAAGTACCTGAAATAAGTATAAATAAATTATATATATATATTTTATTGCGATATGGCAGGGAGTAGTGGCAGGGGGCTCA